ACCTTCTGTCTTTCTGTGAACTTGCTTCCTGCTGTCATTTGAATCCAGAGCTGCTTGGCTTACTTCTTTTTTTATCAGCTCAGTATGAAATTTGACTTTTGTGTGAAAAAGGAGGCAAGAAATGTGCTGATCCTGACCCACCAACCACATGGTAACGCCAACATATAGTCCCGTTTGGGAACCCATATGACAACATTAAAGCCATCAGTAGAGCAAGACCCTGTTCAGATATGCTGGTCTGATGTCAGCTACAGGTGCTACTCTCTGTTTCTTTCAGCCTGTATTTGTCAACACAACGCCAGATGATCAGCTGTTTGCAGTGTACCCGTGTTTGAACAGACACCTTGAACTGGAACACTTTGATACTAAAGTCAATCAGGTATTCATATAATCACATGTCATGTGTTCAGATTTAACTGAAGGAGCATGCTTCCTTTGTTATTATTTCATGCATTGATTTTTTTTTTCATTACTGGTGTAATTGATGAAAACATAATGGAGAAGTAAACATTCCTGCGGAGAATAGAGATGGCCATCTGGATGGCGATGATCCGATGGAAATAGATTTCAACCTGGATGTTTTCGTTTTTTGCTTGCTCGTTAGTTTCTTTCCCACGACCACTTGATTTTGTTGTGATGTCTAATTGTCAAGCAGGCGCGAGTAAAAGTAATTGTCTTCTGTAAATCCTCTGGCTGCCAAATAAAACAAAAACATAAACATGCAGTAACAGATTTCTGTGTCATGCATGTTGTCCTGTTTTATTACCATGGAATATCTCCACGTACTGTATGCATGTGTGTGTTGGGCAGCGTGTGTGTGTGTGTGTGTGTGAATTCTGACCCAGCTGCTGCTGAGCTGCCCCCCCCCCCCACCCCAATTCAACAAGGATGTCTGGCCAACAGTGAGTCAACCCCTTTGTCTCAATGTCTCTCTATACCTCTCTCACTTTGTCCATGTTGTCAAACCTCCTCTCTCTCTGTCCCTGTATCGTATATGTCTCTGTCCCTGTGTGTCTGTTTTCCACATCTCTGTGACTCTCCATGTCTCTTTCTCTCTTTTTCCCACCAACTGCCTCCTTCCCTGTTATCTCTCCATCTCTTCTCTGTCATGGCTCACTTTCTTTGTTTCTTTTCCCTCTCTCTCTCTCTCTCTCTCTCTCTCTCTCTCTCTCTCTCTCTCTCCTTCTCTACCTACATCAGCGTCTGGGAAGTAGAGCGCTATATTATCATCTCCCCTCATTTCCGAGGCTGGCCTGCCACCTTGTGGCAATGGAGACAATAGCACTGCATATTGCATGATTAGACCACTTTTATGTGACATAAATTACTACTCCAAATATTCACCTCCTCCACCAGTACTGGGTTATTTTCAGGGTAACATGACTAGATAAATAGATGAGTCATCTTGAATGCCAGTTACAGCAGAGTGGTTCAAAGAGAAATTCTACTTTGGTGGAAAGTACGTTTATTTACTCAAGTACTGTACTGCACATTTCAGCTACTTGTACTTTACTTGAGTACATCCATTTCATGTGACTTTATACTTCTACTTCACTAGATTTCAGAGAGAAATACTGTGAGTTATGTGACAAATTTACCAATGAGCTTTTTCATACAAAACATATGATAAACATACTGTATACAATGTGATGCATTGCTATCGATGAAACAGCTCAGTAATATATATCAATGAGTTAAAAGCATAGCTGGAAAAGCAGGCACACTAACCCTATGTTGTATACTGTCGCTGCTCCACAACACAATCCAAACATAATCTACCAAATTCTGTTCTCAGAACAATGATTTTCATGATTTTTGCAACTCAAAATTATAACTTTCCTTGAAAAATAATAAAACATGTTGACCTTGTTCTCAAACCAATGAACAAATAAGATAAGGGGGAAACTAATACTGTCTCATACATTATGTAGAATTATGATAATGATGGTAGTAGTTTCATGTGGATCATGTAACTACAGTGGACACACTTACTGTAGCGCTGTACTGAATGTGGGTCGTGGGTATGATGCGCTGCTTTTATTACAGCATAGAACTTTGTTCATCGGTTCAGTTTTGCACAACTCCCTCCCTCTGTTAACTTCACTTTTAAGAAATTTGGCATGACTGCATACAATACAATCATGCCAAAGCATGTTAATACAAACTACACAAATATAATAAACAATAAAGATGCAAAAGGCAGGAAAAACTACAGGGCTATGGATAAGGATAACACAAGACATAAATACATACAACAGGCAGGGGAGATTAGCTATTTGCCATGTGAGACAGGGAGCTCGCCATAGAAATAGAATAGTAGTAGAACAGACATCAAACTGTATGGCGCGGATAGTTGTGTCTTGAAAAAAAACTCCAGGGTATTTATTTGTAATGTAAAAATAAATGATGAAGAATAAATACTATTAAAATGAGCCCCCGTCTAAAAGCAAACACAGTGTTCATAAAAGACATTAAATTAAAATGGAAAAATGATCATTTGAAAAAGGGAAGCCCCAGTTTGGGTCGTGATGTTTCATTCCCAGGTTCAGTCGCTTTTCATGAACAGTGCATTCGGCATCAGAATGGCACCATTCATTGTCACATTTATTCATTTCTATTTTGCAATTTATACATTTTATGCAAGACTGTGACAAAGTGGGTTGGAACATGTTTCTGCCGTATCTCTTGGTAGTTCAGCCATGCTTGTTAGTAGTTCATCATTGCTCTGGGACTGAAGACACACTATCCGGGTTTGAGTGTGTTTTGCATGTTGTTTGATTACAGTTCATAGAACATGAGACAGTTATTGTTGTGTTTAGTTATTGTTTATTGGTTCAGTTCTGCATTCTATAAGATGCTGTGTTCCACACACAAAAGGAGGAGGTGCCCAACCACACTGGACGAGTTCAGCAGTGATGTCATTGGGTTAGGAGGGCAGATTAGGTTAACGAATGTATTTATGTTGATTGTTCTGTGTGGTTTCAAATGTCTTTCATATGGTAAACTATGTGAAAATGTTCTCCAGTGGAAAGTTAGTAATAATGATGAATCTGAATCAAATGGACCGAATGGAAATCAAAGACAAACGTAAACATACATTTCAACTCTTGTTACGTTAAGAGCACAACAGACGATTAACAAATCCTAATCAACTAAACAAAAACACAGCTGACCATTTGAATTAAGCCAGCAGTTGAATGCATACAGAGCCAACAGATCCACAGAGGACCGTGTCCTCAGCCCTCCCTGCTGTGGGACAGAACGCCTACATCAGGATGATTTAGCTGCTATCAGCTCAGCATTCATTCCCGTACACTATGAAGGGTGATTAAAAGCACCCAGAACATTATTGCTACCGGTCTACAGAGCACCTGTGATATCGGTGAGAATATTTCATTTCTTCATCAGAGCTTCTTTTATAGATTGCTCTCCGTGTTATATTTTATTCTATTTTAAATATTTTGGTATATCTGTTAATACGTGTATCGCAAAACTAGACTGAATTAAATGAGTAGAAAGTTATAACACATTTAAGCTTGGACTCAGGATCTCATTAGTGTGACTGCGCATATTAGTTATATTATATAGTATTGATAACTTGTACACTCATTGCATTGTTTTACTGTTGGAAAAGGGTCTCTGCATCGCGGCTCACGTCTTCCTCAGGGCTCAGCAGGGCTCACACACAGCAGACATGTTCCTGGAGGTTTCTAACGAGAGAATCAGGACTACATTCTCCTCTCAGGAACACTGGACAGACGAGGACGTGGACACAACCTGGAGTTAGTCCAGCTAGAGGACTGCTTCCTGTTCTCTCCTCTAAACTTTCTTTAGACAATGACACGCAGCAGTTAACTAAGTGTCTGAGCAACAGACAGTCTCTGATTACCAATGAATCTGTCTGTCAGGTAGTGGTGAAACAGATTATAAAACTCATGGTGCTGGATCAGCTGGTCTACAAGGCTCCAAGAAACCATTTCAACCGTTCTGAAGTCAGTAAACCATCAAATTATAGTCATCTATAGTGTTACACACAATTCAAATAAGGAAATGAAAGATCGTATTTTATGGATGATCACAAATCTTGTCAGTAGTTTTAATGATGTATTATAAGCTGCTTAGAGCTAGTGTAAACAGCTCATAATTCATCTCTAATATCTGTCGATGTTATTGTGAAAACATCTTCAAACATCTATGTGTATTCAAGTTTCTCACCAGCACTACATTTTACGAGGTTACATGTGAACACATGTTAATAAAGTTATAATTTACCTTTGTACTCATTTTCACCGGAGAGCTTGAACGCATCATAATGTAACTGAACGGAACCTTTGTTCGCTAGCGGTGCTGCTAACGTTGCTAGCTCTCCTGTCAGTTTAAACATGGATTGGTTCTTTACAATGTAACATTATCAGAGGTCGGAGACTAGTAAAGCATAAATGATGTCCTGATCACATGTTTTACTGAATATTGATGGATAACGATCGTCAGTAAAACTTTATTTCACACTGCGATGGTCAACGTTAAACTGTGTAATTAATCCGGGTTCACATGCAAGCAGAACTGTGAGGGAGGATCAGTACAGATCACAGACCATCAGTGGTCCGTTTCACCACTAACCCCAGTGCAATCAATTAAAACAAGTCCCCTTCAGGAAACTACTTTTATTCAGAACTTCTTGACGGTAGATAAGTAAGAGCAGGTTGACGGTGAGCTGAATTCAGTCGGACTTGCACATGTTGGAAAGTGGTTTCATGGGATGCCTCACAGCTTTTCCCCATCAAAGTAAACAGACACAGAGCAGTCAAAGGATCAGCAGGATATCTTGTGTGTTACACAAAGCACGTTCAGTCCTGGCCTGCATGTGCTCTACTCCTATTCTTCAGTTAACGTTACGCGTTGGGAGCGGACAGCACCCTTGTTTGGCAGAGCATAGAACTTGTTTTTTGGTAAATAGCGGCTCACAATCTCAACAACACTCCCACTAGCACAATGGTACCTTTTGATTTTGCAAACATTGTTTTATTAATCCATTTGTCAGTTTGTAATGTATAAATTACTTTTAAAAAGGTGAGAAGCAGATGCACCTACAAGAAGGACATGGCATGAAAACACGGGAGTCATAGAAAACTTGGACTGTGTTTAAAGGAGCCGTCCAGGTCCACATCTCCCAGAATCCTCTATTGCCTCTCCAGAGCGTATTTATCTGGGTTTTCCCTCAGTTACAGAACAAATGTGCACGGGGCATTTTTTTAGAATTTAAAAAAGTTCTATGGGCGTCGACCTGCCTCCATGTGCCAGCTCCCTTTCCTGTCTCTTTTCTGTGGCGCTCAGTCCATCCAGATCAGTGCAATGCAGGGGCCGTAGCCCGAGGGGGAGGGGGAGGGGGGGGTCGGGGAGACGGTGTGTTGGCAGACTAAGGCGTCTGGCGGCGTGTTGGTATCTCCTCCTCGTCCCAGCTCACATTTCGTTTGCCACATCGTCGTGCTCTCCTGCCGACAGGTCTCCGTTGGCACTGATTGTGGCGTTGTTGTCCTGGTAACCGGGGGGCATGAAGGCCAGGCTGTAGGGGTAGATCTTATGGCAGGACACTAGGTAAGCCTCAGCAGCCTTCTGCTGGCCCTCGCCCAGCTGTCCGTCACGCAGAGCGTCCAGCACCTGAGTACAGATCTGCAGCACAGAAACACATGCAGAGTCAGTCTGGATGTCTTGAACCTAAAGAACCGCATCAGAAAACTCACAGCTCACAGCACAGAAGACAAAAGGAGCAACTAGAACTCCTAGAGATCACTGATCACGTTATTTTGCCACCGATATTAATTGATGATCACTGATGATCCATATTGGCAGATACACATCCCTTTGTTGTTCGATTATAGCAGCTGGTCTACAAGATCTAGACCATGTATTTTTTTATCACCGCCCAAAAGTCATTTCAGCTGCTCTGAAGTCAGTGTAAACCATCAAATATTCTAAATGTTATCCTTTTACTTTGTTGTATGGTTTACAGTGGTATTTAATAACTGATCCCATACCTGGATGCTTCTTCCGGACAGTGACTCGTCCAGGGCCGTGGCTATCTCACAGGCCATCTGATCAGAGAGAGGCTCCAGGTGGACCATCATCTTAGCAGCTGGGAACCCAACACAGAGACACTCTGAACAACAGCACCTCCTCATGCTAATCTTACATGTTCTTTTACATAAAGGTCACATTGGCAATCACACTAGGTCCACCTGTAACACTTTCAACCCAACACAAGTCTGAATTAAATACTTTAATGTTGACAAAATAAAGTATTGATGCAGCTGAACTAAAAATGATCGTCTTTTTTTAGTACACACCTTCTTTCTTGTCAAAAACCTGGCGCCTACATTACCCACGGAGGGAGGAGGACAGAGGACAGAGGACAGGAGGGGGAGGGAGGGAGGGAGGAGGACAGGAGGGGGAGGGAGGAGGACAGGAGGAAGAGGGAGGGAGGGAGGGAGGAGGAGGACAGAGGACAGGAGGAGGAGGGAGGGAGGGAGGAGGACAGAGGACAGGAGGGAGGAGGATAGAGGGAGGAGGACGGATGGAGGAGAACAGGAGGAAGGGCTGATACTGATGTTCTTTACTCTTTATAAACTTAATTTAGGAATGTTATTCATTACATTTTAGTTTTGTTTCAATATTTAAAAAGTGTTATGTTCAAATAAATTCCTTTTCCCTCATTGAATATGAACATCCGAGTGATGCTCATTTCATAAATCGGACCCGGCTATCACCTGCTTCAATGGTGGTCCAATGGTGGCGGCTTCATCTAGTTTCCACTGAAACTGTAGATAGATGTAATCCTGAGGAGTGTCACTGTGTGTGTGTGTGTGTGTGTGTGTGTGTGTGTTCTGCTTACCGGCCACTCGGTGTGGGATGGAGCTGGAGTGTTGACTCAGGTAGTTCTTGTTGAAGCTCTGAGGGTTGCTCTCCCCAAACAGCCTGGAGATCTCCTGCTTCAACACCTCCCTCACTGCCTCCGCCAGGTCTGCACTCTCACGCACTACACGCACACACACGCACGCACGCACGCACGCACACACACACACAATAAAGGACCCTTATGAATCGTAGCTCACATTGAGGCACGTCACACTATTGAGGAAACACCCACAGACTCATGAGTGAATGGACAGTATACTTGACCTATATATGCTTCCACAATCCAGACAGAGAGGTTTCCCACTTTGATCACACAATGTTTCACACTCTTCATGTCACTTTGAAGCCCCTCCCCCACAGCCCCAGTAATATGCTATGAAACATCAGCTCAGTGTGGATTATAACCTCTTGTTCCGATACCGAAACCAGTACCTAAGGTATCAGATCAGTACTCTGTGTCGGCCAATAAGCAGGTTGGGGTAAAACGGTATCAGAGCATCTCTACCTCCTTTGAAGAAGCGCACCAGACACTGGTGCAGCCATGGGTTGGAGGGCTCTATGGTTACAGCCCGCTTTATCGCCTGAAGCATCAACAGGTACTTCTCTGAGGGAAGAAAAGACAAAAGAGAATGTTAGTTCAACAAGTAATGATGCGGTTACACCCGAGATTCTAAATAATCTTAAAAATTAGACAGAATATTAAAAAAAGAGTGCGTGAAACACGGAGAAACGCAGGCTGGCAGTGCTGGTTAGACCTTTCCTGAAGTATATCTCGAAGGCCAGGAGGTGAGTCTCGATCTTGTTGCGCACGAGGTTCTTCAGAGGGATCAGGAACTTCACCGCCTCCTCCAGAGGATTCTCTGCCTGGTGAAAACAAGTGCAAACGCGGTACACGTCACACACTGGGAAGACATTCCAACGGGGAAAAAAGGAATCTGCCTCCGTTAAAACTCTGGAGGAAGACATAAACGGAGGAGGAGTCCGTACGTCGCCGTGACAGCACTCCGATTGCTTTGGTGCTGGTTCTATTTAATCTGAATGTATGTTTTCCTTGTTATTGGTCTCTGTTCAGCAGCTGCATACAGCTCCACTCCACAGAGCTACATTATGATGCATAAACCAAGATATTAGCACCGACTAGGCTGCAACTAGAAGCACATTCATTGACGAGTAGGACTGTAAGCGGCTGAAGTAAATGACATGGCATGTCAGAGTCAGGTAAATATAGGACTCAGTGATCCAGCCGACACTATTAGCTAGAATACACATAAGTCATGACATGTGACATCACTGCAGCTCCCTGGTTATTTATTACCAGCCTTAATGCTTTTAACAGAGATATTGCTGGCTAACGTTAGCTAAACAAAGTGCACATGCTAACTTAGTTCACTGAGGCCCAAAGTTAGCAACGACTTAGCCTTAATAATAATAATTACACTAATAAGTGGGATCATTTTGGTAACTTTCAGTCCTAACACACACAGCCATCACCTTTATGACATGACGCTGTATTCACACAGCTCAGCTACTACAAGCTTCTGTCATGGCGGAGTAACTGATAATATGAGCCCACCTTGGCCAGTTTGTCTGGTACAAGCTCCTCTTTGGGCCCTCCTATCTCCTCATCGTCGTCCTCTTTCTTCTTCTTCTGGTTCTTAAGCTGTTTCTCCTTCTCCGCGTTCTTCTTCTCCTCCTCTAACTGGGCCTTCTTCTGGGCTCTTCGCTGTTTGTTGCGCTGCTTCTTCAGCTCCTTGTCTGTCAGATTCTCTACGGAGAGCAAAACAGCAAACGGTGCGTTTGAATCCACAGTGACGCTCTGAAGACACACCGACAGCAAACTAGTGTTGTTCCTATCGGTCTAAACTGTTCATGAAAAATATGGAAGCACAGACACTAAAGATGGAACAGCCGTGAAGATGCGGTACATCTGGCTGATGAAACATTCAGAAGCAATGGCGTGGGTCTGTGGACTTCTGTCGCATGCCATTCCTCATCCCTCCCTTTCAATAATCTCTCGATGTTACACCTATCTAATAAAAGCATAAATATGGAAACACAGAATCATCCTGCTTCTCATAGTATTTGCTGTTACTTACGGTTCTTATTGTAAATTCTGAGGAGATCATAACGGTATTTGCGGAGAAATATAGGCACAATCTGGACAGTTTCACTATCTACAATGAGCACAAGTACATAAAGGAATTGCCTTTACTCTCGGTGTTCACAGTGAAACTACAACTAGCCTACATAGTACCGAGTATGTGGCATGTTATTCGCAGAGCACCAGATTTACGGAACAGTCCGGTTTGTGCCAGAGTGCGGTCAATGACTCAAGAGAGAGAGTATCTACGGACGCACCCCGGTGACTAGTGGTGTAACGGATCACGGATCGATCCGTGATCCGTTCGGATCACCCCTCACGGTTCGGATCACTCGTGAACCGCGGATCAATTGAGTATTTTTTTCTTTTTTTTTTACACTTTAAATCATCACAGTGTGTAATACAGTTTTACTGCTGCTGTTCCTTTTCAAGTAACAAGTCCCTGAATATCAATGCAGAGTGTCAGTGAACAGATACAAAGCAGTAGTGTGTTCACGTGAACGGAGCAGGTTAGAAGCATTTAACGGCAAAAGTCATGGCGAGTGGAGGAACGTCAGAAGCCCCCGGCGTCATTTAAGTCGCAAGTTTGGGAGCATTGTGTCTTCCCTGCAACTTATGACGGATGAGGGTGGTGGACAAAACCGTTACGGTATGTAGGCGTTATTTAAAGAGAAAGACACACGACAACGGCAACATCGGGCATGTCCACACATATGAAGAGACACCATCCCGTCTGTCAGCGACGGGGGACACTCCGGTGTGGAAAACAAATGATTTCAAAATCTGGTTAAAATGCTTGAGCCACGCTACGAAATCCACTCACGCACCCACTTCAGTGTGAAGCTTGTTCCAGGCTTCTATGAGAAGGAAAAGACTGACTGCTTTCACCCTGGCGGAGTGATTCATAGTCCGGTGCTGTAGACACGCCCCCTCTGTGACAGTCACACAGACACACACCTGGGGCAGGTGCTGACAGAAGCAGCAGAGTGAAGCTTGACAGGCCCAATAGCAATATCCCAGTCACCACAGAAAGGTCTACCCTCTCCCCAGGCAATGGAGATATTCTCATCTTTTTGAAAATAATGTCACAGTAATGGTAAACATTATTGTGTATTTGAATGACATAACCTGACAGGAAGTAAACATAGACCCAAGTTGTTGCCGAGCAGTTCAGTTCAGTTGAAACAGTGGAAGCTAGCTCACTGGCTGTTTCAAAGGTCGAGGGTATCAACATACCTCATGTTGCACTTAAACTTAACAGAATTCTTGAATGTTTTATTTTTATTTATTTAATTTTGTTTCAAATTGGATCTTCAATATTTTTGTTTTTATGTAAGACTCAAAGTTCTTTTCTTTAAGTGTTCTTGAAGTTCTTTAATTAATAAATGGAAAGCAAAGTTATATTTGACTCCTCCCCTTTTCTTTGTTGATCCGAAAAATGATCCGAACCGTGACTCAAGAACTGTGATCCGAACCGTGAGGTTTGTGATCCATTGCACCCCTACCGGTGACACAAACTCTGTGCTTCAGCTTACGTTAAGTGTGCCAGGCTGAGGTGGATTGTGATGGGAAACATGAGAGCGGAGCCGCACGCTAACGCGCACACATGGCACTGACCGGTGTCCGCCTGGCTCTCCTTGTTGTCGTCGGCCAGAGGTTTGTCGTGCAGCACCAGGTAGATCTGGATGGCGGTTCGAGCAGCTTTGTAGTAGAAAGGGTGTTGCCGCAGCACGTCCTCCAGCTTCAGCAGGTCCACGTAGGAGCGCAACGTCATCTTCCTCATGCAGTAGGTGTGGAAGTCGAATTGGTCATCTGTGATCTCCACAAAATGCTGATGGGGGGAGAGAGGGGGGGTGAGAGGGGAATGCCTGCGTTTAGATCTGCTGGTTTTAGAAGAATGAATGTCAAACTCCTCTGATGGGAGTGATGGCGGTGGAGAACACCTCATAATAACCTCAAGTGTCTCGGTAGAGATAAATGTGACTTCTTTATTCTTCTTTTCACATTCTGGACTGGAGGTCAGGGTTTGTCACCAGAAATCTAATCATGTGGCAGATGAATCAAATTTAAACATTGCCTTAATACAGTTAGAAAACAAAACATTCCATTCTTTTGTAAAAATAAAGTGCTTCTACATTTGTTTCCGTTCAGCCGGATAAGGCGCTGTGCAAAACACTTAGCATGGTAGAGAAAACCCTGATTTCCATAAATGACATCCACATTTTGGTCAATTCCATGATATTGTGCATTTTACAGCGGAAGTCATCGGGCCCTAGAAAGCCTGATATCACACTGAAGGCACAGCAAGAGTGTTGCAGCATCAAAAGAACTATTTTATGACCGGGCTCTGGAGGAAGGAGGTATGCTTGGGACAATTTAAAGATGCACACAAAACAAGCGAAAATAAATGATATAGCAGGAAGAAGAAAAAAAACCACTGGACTTATTTGAAGGCTCCACCTAAATAATGATAAAATATTATAGACAGAAAATTAATATATATTAGGTTGTGGAGGCTCACCCTCTCAATCTCGTGGCACTTCTTCAGGGCCTCTCCAAACTTGTTCATGGCCTTGTAGGCCAAGGCACACTCTGTCTGGAACCACATGCACTGCATCTCATTCAGGTTGTCCACCGCAGACGCCCCCTCCTGAGAGAAAGACAAACACACCCATTGTCACGGCTCATACAATGGGAAGTTACACTGCCCCTCTGAACTCAGTGACATCATCTCTCACATCAGCTTTCTGGCTTGTAGCTGAACCAAAGGGTTTTATGAGCTGAGCCAACTAGAAATATCTCCGTTTGCCCAGTCGTATGAAAGGTCCGTCCTATTTACTGGAGCAGTGAACAACGTTTCCATCCCATAATGATCGTTCCAAGTATTAGAAAACCAGTGAAACGGAGTGAATGCAACAAATTGCTTGTTTCAACCTGATGATTACCAGTTTCAGTCATAAAAATATTATTCGAAAGTATATAATATAATAATAAAGTGTGTGTATATACATACATACATACAGTGGGGATAAAAAGTATTTAGTCAGCCACCAATTGTGCAAGTTCTCCCACTTAAAAAGATGAGAGATGCCTGTAATTTTCATCATAGGTACACTTCAACTATGAGAGACAGAAAGGGGAAAGAATCCAGGAAATCACATTGTAGGATTTTTAATGAATTAATTGGTAAATTCCTCGGTAAAATAAGTATTTGGTCACCTACAAACAAGCAAGATTTCTGGCTCTCACAGACCTGTAACTTCTTCTTTAAGAGGCTCCTCTGTCCTCCACTCGTTACCTGTATTAATGGCACCTGTTTGAACTCGTTATCAGTATAAAAGACACCTGTCCACAACCTCAAACAGTCACACTCCAAACTCCACTATGGCCAAGGCCAAAGAGCTGTCAAAGGACACCAGAAACAAAATTGTAGACCTGCACCAGGCTGGGAAGACTGAATCTGCAATAGGTAAGCAGGTTGGTGTGAAGAAATCAACTGTGGGAGCAATTATTAGAAAATGGAAGACATACAAGACCACTGATAGTCTCCCTCGATCTAGGGCTCCATGCAAGATCTCACCCCGTGGGGTCAAAATGATCACAAGAACGGTTAACAAAAATCCCAGAACCACACGGGGGGACCTAGTGAATGACCTGCAGAGAGCTGGGACCAAAGTAACAAAGGCTACCATCAGTAACACACTACGCCGCCAGGGACTCAAATCCTGCAGTGCCAGACGTGTCCCCCTGCTTAAGCCAGTACATGTCCAGGCCCGTCTGAAGTTTGCTAGAGAGAATTTGGATGATCCAGAAGAGGATTGGGAGAATGTCATATGGTCAGATGAAACCAAAATAGAACTTTTTGGTAAAAACTCAACTCGTCGTGTTTGGAGGAGAAAGAATGCCGAGTTGCATCCAAAGAACACCATACCTACTGTGAAGCATGGGGGTGGAAACATCATGCTTTGGGGCTGTTTTTCTGCAAGGGGACCAGGACGACTGATCCGTGTAAAGGAAAGAATGAATGGGGCCATGTATCGTGAGATTTTGAGTGGAAACCTCCTTCCATCAGCAAGGGCATTGAAGATGAAACGTGGCTGGGTCTTTCAGCATGACAATGATCCCAAACACACCGCCCGGGCAACGAAGGAGTGGCTTCGTAAGAAGCATTTCAAGGTCCTGGAGTGGCCTAGCCAGTCTCCAGATCTCAACCCCATAGAAAATCTGTGGAGGGAGTTGAAAGTCCGTGTTGCCCAGCGACAGCCCCAAAACATCACTGCTCTAGAGGAGATCTGCATGGAGGAATGGGCCAAAATACCAGCAACAGTGTGTGAAAAGCTTGTGAAGACTTACAGAAAACATTTGACCTCTGTCATTGCCAACAAAGGGTATATAACAAAGTATTGAGATGAACTTTTGTTATTGACCAAATACTTAATATAAAATACTAAATATAAGAAACACATTAACTGTTGGGAATAACAGCCTGAAAAAGGGGGCACCATTATGTTGGGAACGTAAAGGAGCGTGTTTGGGTTATCAGCATCTAAGAAACTAAATTCTTGACATCAATAGAATTATTAATGTCAGTAACAATTATTAATAACGGGGCACCACCCTGCGAACAGCAACCAATAACCAAACGATAAAACTAAGTCTCATAATTAGTGTTCACTCACAATGTCAACAGTCTGAGTACTATTACATATTCAGAGTGAAAGTGAAGGTTTAAGTTAGAGCACAGACCACATATACAGCTATTATCACAATACATACACAAAGTAATCAGACAGCTGCTCTTTAAAATATAACAGAGTTTATTACGTTCTAATACTAATGATCTAGTCAACTAATATCTAAACTAACAACAACTATACATTCATGAGCACGCTATCTAAAATCAACAGACGACTGAAAAGAGGGGGGGGTGCGTGTGTATGTGTGCGTAAGGGGGAGGAGCGAGAGAACAGCTCAGCGACGTATGACGTGGTTGGGACGTGGTGACGTCTCTCATGCGTGAGACTCACAAATGGCGGATAGCCAACAGGAGACCTGGCGTCTATACGTGCCGGTA